GGGTCACCGCCGGGAGGGATGGCAGGTGAGTGAGGGTCCTGAGGGACTTGACGGAAGCCCCCCTCACCCGCCCTCTTTGGTCTTCGGAGTTTGGTGGGTCCCTGCTGAGGTGACAGGTGGGTCCCGGGGCTGCACTTGGGGCGGGGGCTCCTGCCCCTCCTGGGACTTCCCCCTGGAATCTGGACCACGTGTGTGTGTGGGTTGGGCTCTGATGGTATTGATGCGGGGCTGGCATGAGGAGGAAGGGTGTCCGTGTGTGTGTGTGTGTGTGTGTGTGTGTGTATGTGGGGGTGTGTGTGCATGTGGGGGTGTGTCTGCCACAATTGGGAAATCGGTCTCTGGTCAGGGGAGGTCACTCAGTGATCGGACGCTCTGTGCATGCCTCTTGCTTTCTCTGGATAATTCTCTGGATCTGGGACAATAGTTTTCAACACTAATCATAATAGCACAGTTACGGGATTAAGTGAGCCTGGCCGCTGTGGCTCAGCCAGTTGGGCATCAGCCCAGGCACCAGAGGTCGCCGGTTTGATTCCCGGTCAGGGCACATGCCCGGGTTGCAGGCTCAAATCCCAGTAGGGGGCGTGCATGAGGCAGCCAATTGATGTTTCTCGCTCATCGATGTTTCTATCTCTCTCTCCCTTCCTCTCTCTCTAAAAAAACACAAAAATACTAAAAACCTATTTTAAGTGCAAAAAACTAATATTTATTGAGCACATCCTATTTGCCAGACGCTGGTGCATATCTGAATCCTCTCAATATCGAGGGTGTCCACTAGTCATCTCCCCATTTTACAGATCGGGAAACTGAGGCTCAAGCTCTAAGGCAGCGGTTCTCAACCTGTGGGTCGCGACCCCTTTGGGGGTCGAACGACCCTTTCACAGGGGTCGCCTAAGACCATCGGAAAACACATATATAATTACATATTGTCTTTGTGATTAATCACTATGCTTTAATCATGTTAAATGTGTAACAATGAAAATACATCCTGCATGTCAGATATTTACATGACGATTCATAACAGTAGCAAAATTACAGTGATGAAGTAGCAACGAAAATAATTTCATGGTTGGGGGTCACCACAACATAAGGAACTGCATTAAAGGGTCGCGGCATTAGGAAGGTTGAGAACCGCTGCTCTAAGGGAACGCAGATGCTCCTGATTCCAATCCGAGGACACTCCCCACTCTGCTGACAGGCAGCGTGGGGACAAGGGCCTGGGGGATTCCTTATCTCTGTCCCTCGGGCTGGCAGGGCCCCTGCGGGCGCAGTGACCCTCTCCCACCACCGTCCTCACCGTCCTGCAGTTGGTCTCACCGCTCCAGACGTGTGTAAGGAACTATACCGCAGTGACTCCTTCCCCCCTGTTCTGTCTCTCCCCTGACTGTGAGCTCCTTGAGGGCAGATGGCATTTGTATTAATACCCGGGGTCCGGCACGGAGTAAGTGGCCTCGCTGAGTGTTGGGTGATAGGCAAACGGGCCTGGGAGCTGGAAAACAGACTTGACGCCCGTCCAGGCCGAAGTGTGACTCTCTGAGGTGCTGATGGCGTGGCTGTGTCTCTCCACGCGATCAACCTTCCACATAATTCACGTGAAGTTACACTCCCGTCTTCACACACAAGGGTGGGGCGGCTGTTTTTAAAATGTGAATGCTGCCTTCATTTCACATTGCTCTACATTCTCGTTTTTATTGATTTCAGAGAGGAAGGGAGAGGGAGAGAGATATAGAAACATCAATGATGTGAGAGAATCATGGATCGGCTGCCTCCTGCACGCCCACACCGGGGATCCAGCCCAGGTCATGTGCCCTTGATCAGAATGGAACCCGGGACCCTTCACTCTGCAGGCCAATGCTCTATCCACTGAGCCACACAGCTAGGGCTGCGTTCTCAGTCCTTGCTCCCATTGGACACCGCGTCGCAGGCCTTCCTCGGGCCAGTGAGCGGGAGGGAGCTCCTCCTCTCTCCGTCCCCATTAACCTCTCCTGGCTCGCGGGCACCTTCGTTTATCCAGCCGTCGCTCTGCTAATGGACATTTGAGCTGCTTCCAATGTTTCGCCGCAATAACTCCCGTGATAAGTGCCTGTGTGTCTCTCCCGTCCACTCGGTGCTCCTTCGCTGAAGGCCGACGCCCCGGGTGAGACAGCAGCCGAGGGAACAGGACAGCACAAGGGAACGCGAGATCCCGTTTGCATGAAGGATTTTGTGGTTGTTGCTCCTTCCAGTTCTGCTGCCTTATATTCCACAGAGCCAGGCAGATGGGCCCCGTGGCCGGCATGTGTGTCCTCACTGTGTGCCAGACACCGGGGTCACCCTCCCAGGGGTGACAGCCCAAGGGCCTGTCCAGAGCAGTGACGAGGAGGGCGGGGTGGGCCGGAGGGTGGGCTTGGCGTCTTGCAGGATGAGCTGCATCCTAGTGCGGGGAGCTGAGGCCTGGCCGGGGCAGGAAGTGTGTTCAGGCCGATAAATGAGCTCACAGCTTTTCCCTCTCTGCTGTGTCCACACCGAGCTGCACGAAACCGCATTGCCAGGCGCCAGGCACCCGCTCTCCTGGGTTTAAAAATACTGGCTTGGAAGGCTGCTTTGGGGGTTCTCTGCCAGGACTGGGGAACAGCGCCCCTTTGCCATCCAGCTGCCTCTCCTCTCCCACTCTCTGCGGCCGAGCATCCTTCATGGCACAGGGTGTCCGCAGGCTGGGACCTGGAGCTCCGGAGCCCCTGATTGGCCAGTGCTCACCGTTTCCCACGGGGATCCATTCCCGGAGCCATTTGTGGCTGTGGCTGTGGCTGTGGCTGTGTCTGTGCTGCTCACAGTTCTGCACGTGTCTTGTTTCTGAACCCCAACCCTGTGACCACCCCCCACACTCCTTAGAGAGCCTTACACAGAGTAGTTAGTCAGCGATTGTTTTGTAAATGAGTGAGTAGGTCAATGATTCTCTATTTTTTTTTTGGTTAATCCTCACCCAAGGATATTTTTTCCATTGATTTTTTAGACAGCGTGGGGGGGGGGGTGGGAAGAGAGACACATCGATGTGAGAGAGGCACATGGATTGGTTGCCTCTGCACGCACCCTGACTCGAGCCTGCAACTGAGGTCCATGCCCTTAGTTAGAATTGAACCCAGACCCTTCAGTCCGCGGGCCAACGCTCTATCCACTGAGCCAAACTGGCCAGGGCCATCAGTGACTCTTGACAAGGTCAGACCCTGAGGACCAGAGCCAGGGTCACACCCCACAGGGCCCTCTGAGCCCCCCTCCCCACCTCGCCTACCTTCACGGCCTTCGCCCGGCGGATGAGCCCGTCGTCCTGCGAACTCCCGAGGAGCAGGTCCACCGTGGCCCGCGGCGCCCTCTGCAGCGCTCTGGCCGGAGCCTCTCGCAGGAACTGGCCGTCGAGCACGGGGCCCCAGTAGTGGAAGGGGCCGCTCACAGCCAGGAGCTGCGTGGGTGCAGAGGAATGGCGCTGATTAGGCGGAGTTCATTCATTTTAAAGGACACGGGGCTGAAACAACTAGGAGCGTCGCTTTGCTAAACCATCATGGACGTGGTGCCGGCGGCCCATCTGCGGCTTTACTGGGAAATCAGAGTAAAACGACCAGGGGCCAGTGGCAGGGGCTGGAAGGTGGGTCAGGCTCTGAGCAATGACTGGTCCAGGGGAGCTTCCAGGGCCCCCTCCGAGGTGACCACACCCCAGGGGGACTGGGTAAGCCTGCGCCCAGGTGTGAGCCGGGCAGAGGAGAGAGTGATCAATTGGGGGGCGGTGGCCCGGGGCGGGAAGGAGGTCACAGGGAAACGGGTCAGCCTCGGCCGCTCTCCAGTGCAGCGGTCGCCAGCCTTTCGGACCTCTCATGGCCCGTGGACCGCCGGCTGGAGACCGCTGCTCCAGTGAGCTCCCATCGGGGACCTGAGGCTCAGCCCTAGGGCGGTTGCCAGCCCAGGCGGATTGCCGAAGGGACCAGGCCACCAGCTCAGATGACAGCAGTGGTCCCTGCTGGCGTCCCCTTCACTCACATCAGGGCCAGCAAGAGACAGGGGCCGGGTCCTTGCAGGCAGGAGAAGGGAGCACCCAGCTGCCTGTCTCAGGCGCAGGGGCAGGGCCCAGCTCCGTGGCAGCAGCACCGTGACCCTCAGCACAGTCCCCACCCAGGCGAGACCCTCACACACATCACCTCACCGTCATCTCCTACCCTCCAAGGCCCACCCGCTACCCCACTTCACACACAGGCTCCCAGGCACCCGGAGCTGGTGCCCTCAGCACCCACGCGTGGCCCACCGCACCCTCGTGCGCAGCGCTGAGCAAGACCCTCACACACATCATCTCATCCTCGTCTCCTACCCTCCAAGGCCCACCCGCTACCCCCACTTCACACACAGGCTCCCAGGCACCCGGAGCTGCTGCCCTCAGCACCCACGCGTGGCCCACCGCACCCTCCGTGCGCAGCGCTGGGGGCAGGGAGCGTGTGGCCTCGGGCCGGCCAGGTCTCCTTCCCAGGCCCGGGTTTCCATTTGTAAACATTCGGACAATGTCCCTTCCCAACTGGCACACGTGTGCCCACCTTGGTCTGGGCGTCGTTGAGGGTGTCGGCGGGTTTCTGGCGGAGGCAGGATGTCATTTCCTGGATGGGCGAGGCGGGGCAGCCGACCTCCAGCGCCAAGGCAGCTGCCTGCTGCTGTGCCCGCTCCGGGCTGATGACGGCGGCGGGGGAGAGTGCGGAGCCACCCTGGGGAGAGAGCAGACAGGGGGCTGAGAGTCTCCATCCCTCCCTCCTCCTGCTCAGCCTGAGACCTCAGGGCACAGTAGGAGGCCAGGACCCTGCCCGGAGGTGCCACAGGCATTCGGGAGGTCAGGACAGATCAATTGCCATCCACATGCTGTGTGGTCGTGCACAGATGTCTCCCTCCGCCTCAGTTTCCTCATTTGTGAGGTGAGCACGCTGGCCCGGGTGGCCCTCCGTCTTCGCTATGAACTAAGGCTGCATGTGGAGGCAAAGCGCTGATGGTGGCTGAACAGGGACCAAGATCCGAACTGGGGAGGGGAGTCTGCGAAAGTGGCTCCGTGTCCCACCACCACCTCCGGGGCTCCCTGACTAGCAAGCCCTCCGGCTCAGTGAAGATGGACTTGGGTGTAAACTAGATGCCCACCTAGGAGACTGGGGGACGCAGTCACTGTGAAAGAACCGGCCAATCACAGCAAGTCTCCTGTAAGCCTCCAGGTGCCGGAGCGTCTCCTCTCTGAGAACGGAGGGTGGGAGGCAGGCTCTAGGAGGAAATCAAGGCACAGAGAGGCGGGCGACTTGCTCAGGGTCACAGGGCAGGGAACGGGGTGGCCGCCTCCAAGGCCAAGCCTTTCACGCACACACAGTCGGTTCTGGATGCGAGGGGGCGGCGCTGTGCTCACTGTTATGTCTACTTCACTGTTGGGTCCAAGGGGGACCTTGTGGCCAGAGTCAGAGGCGGGGCCAGGCCATCGGACCCCCAGCCGAGGGAGCAGGACACATGGGGGTGGACCCTGACGTGGCCACACTGGGTCCCAGAGCTCTGAGCTGCTCAGACCCGGGCAGGCAGCCTGGTCTACAGACTCCAGACGGGCTGGGCCCCCACATAGTGTCCTGTCCTCAACCCATTCCGATAAGCGGAGGCTCCTGCCGCGGCGAGGTGTGTGCAGGCTGCCCGTGCTGGGGCCTGCAGTGGGGCTCTGAGCCCAGCATCTGTGAGCGAGGGAGATCACGGGCTCATGGTGGGGACCTGCGAGCGGCAGTGGACATAAATGCCCAGCCAGCCCCGGGCCGGGAGGTCGGCAGTGGTGCCCACAAACGGTGGCAGGATGATTGCCCCCGGGTTCAGCTTTCTAACGAGCAGGGGCCGGCTTTTCTGAGCATCACTGCGTGTGCTCTGACTCAAGAGAACACACACACACACACACACACACAAACAGTGTGCGCACACATATGCACACACATGCTCACATACGCACACACATACATATGCACACACATGTGCGCAGCCGCGTGCTTAAAGTACTCCAGGTCAAAGCCCCACATTCTAAATTGTGAGCTGACCAGGCAGTCCGTGGCTGGGCTGCGGTGGGGCGCCAAGCAGGCGGGCTGGGGGGCTGTGGACTGGGGATGGGCCCTGTGGTGTTTTCTACACTGTCCCAGCTATAAAAAGCCAGAGTTCCTGATGTGTGAGGAAGTGGTTAGAGGCGGGGGCTCGCGGATACTGCACGGCGGCTCAGAGAACTTTCCTCGCCAAGCATTTTGTTTTCATTGATCTTTCTGCACAAAACTCTCTTCATGGAAAATCGGTGGTTAAAGAGCCAACAGCGGGCTCAGCCCCCACTTGAAAGCACTTGGTGGAGACAGGGAGCTGGGGGAGGGGTGCTGGGCGGAGCCCCGCCAAGAGCAGGGGCCTGGGGGCAGAAGGACCAGGTTCCAGCCCCAGCCCTGTTCCCCACGGACGAGGGGACCCTGGGCAGGGGTGCGGGGTGACATCCGGGGCCTCATCTCCTCATCTGGATGGGAGTGATAACCATGCCTCACAGCTGCCCTGAGGGGGCAGGGCGGGCGGGGCGTCCTCAGCCCAGGGGTGGGGTGGGGAGGAGTTGGTGTTGCTGTTGGTGCCCTTGATGCTCACGGGACTCTGTGGGTTCAGAGGAGCCGGTCCTGTCACCCTGCCCAGTCACGCCAGCAGCCTGGGCCCTGGGCCGGTACTTTATCTAAATCTGACCTAGCTATTCAGTGGCAATGAGTTTCCGTTCGTTTTGTGTGTTTTCTGAACTTTAAAAATAGTGCAGGGCGAGACCACAATTGCTGAGCACTGCTTTTTCTCCCGGAGCCTCAGCACATGCGAGGGGCCTTGACCTCAGTGAGCCACTGGCTGGGGTGACCTCGGTGAGGCCCCTGTCCAAGCACACACATACACACACAGCCACACACACGCAGTCACACACACACAGCCACACACACGCAGTCACACACACACAGCCACACACACGCAGTCACACACACACAGACACACACACGCAGTCACAGTCACACACACGCAGTCACAGTCACACACACGCAGTCACAGTCACACACACGCAGTCACAGTCACACACACGCAGTCACAGTCACACACACGCAGTCACAGTCACACACACGCAGTCACAGTCACACACACGCAGTCACAGTCACACACACGCAGACACACAGACACACACGCAGTCACAGTCACACACACGCAGTCACAGTCACACAGTCACAGACACACAAAGACACATATATGCAGTCACAGTCACACAAACACACTCACACACACAGTCACAAACAGAAGCACATACTCACACAGATGCACACCCAGAAACTTACACAGACACACACACTCAGACACACACAGTCACAGACAGACACACTCACACAGATACACACTCAGGAACACACAATTATAGACAGGAACACACCAGTCACAGGAACACACACACACTCAGACACACTCAGACACACATACTCACAAACAGACACACTCACACAGATATATACTCAGAAACATACAATTATAGACAGGAACACACACACACACACACACACACACACACTCAGACACACACACTCACAGACAGACACACTCACACACACACACACACACACTCAGATTTTCTTGAAATGGACACCTCAGAGTTTGCCGGGGAGCCACTCACAGGCCTTCCATGGAGAAGTCACTGACCCCAACCCCGACGGGGCAGTTTCTGCGACAAATGTCCAGGCGGGGCCCGGGCCCTTCCTTACCAGTGAGTCTGCAGGCCCAGTGCTGGAACGGGCGTGAGCCTGTCTCTTTCCTAACAGCCCCTGGTGAGTGCCACCCGGCTGACACCTGTGAATGTGCTGCTTCCAGTGCCAGCGTGCAATCTGGTGTTTTGGCTGCGAGGGAGGGGGCGCAGGCAGGAGCGCCTGCCGGTTGTGGCGGGTGACAGACGGGGGTGCAGACCCCAACTCCGGCTCCTAGCTGTTTGATTTGGGCTCTTCCTTCATCTGTCAGGAGCGTGACGATGCTGACAGCTTCCGCCAAGGCCGTTGTCGTGAAGAAAGGAGAGGATTCTCATGGCGCATGACAGAGTGCAAGGGTTCAGAGTGCTAGCCCTTGTTCCTCATGTTCGGATGCTTTAGGCAGCACCGCGAAGCACATCTTCACAGGCAAATCTGTCCACATATTCATGCTAATTTCCTGATAGGCCACAGAATCACTGGGTCACAAGGGATACTTTTTCCCTGAGACATAAAAATGTATTGCGTGATCTTTTCCCATAACATTTTCATGGTTTCCCATGAAAGATATGCATGAGGGAATCTTTCTTGAAGGAACATAGGTTTGTATTATATAGGTGGCATTTTAAGCTCTGATTCTTGGCCTCTGCAGCGACCTGTTTGAAAAGGGTCTCATGGAGATATAACTCACGTATCATACAGTTCACTCACTCAAAGCCCACACGCCGATGGCTTTCAGTTCTAGGCACAGAGCCCTGTCACCATCACCACGATCTAATTTTAGAACATTTTCATCATCCGCAAAGCAGCCACGTGCCCATTAGCAGTCACTCCCAGCCCCAGGCCATCACTAATCTGTTTCCTGTCTCTGCAGAGTTGCCTTTTCTGAAATTTCATGTAAATGGAGCCACCAATCGGACGCCTCCTGGGCCTGGCTCCCTCCACTTCACCCAGTGATCGCGCACGTAGGCACTCCATTCCCTTCATAATTAAATACCATCCCATGGCTCCCACATATAATATTTTATCTACTGCTCAGCTGCTGGGCGTCGCTGGTTTCCCCTTTTTGGCGATTATAAATAATGCTCGATGAACAGCCTGGTCCATTGTGTGTGTGTGTCGGGGGGTGGGGTATGTTTTCATTTCTCCTGGTTGTATACCTAGGAGTGGAATCGTTGGGTTAGAAGGTAACTCTATGTCCGACCATTTGAGAAGCTGCCAAAATGTTGTTATGAGCCCTTAGGCAGTGCCTGCATGTTCCAAGCTCTCCATGCCCCACCAACACGATATCACCCTGTGCATCCCTGTCACAGCCCTCAGGGGGGGCGGGAGCGGAACCTCGCTGTGCGCTGTGCGTGTGATGTGCATCTTCCTAACGGCGGATGGTGGTGCGCACCTTTCCTGGTGCGTACGGGCCCTCTGGCCATCTGCTCTGGAGAATCGTCTGTTCAGGTCCTTGGCCCAACGCTAAGTTGGGTTGTTTGTCTTTCTGTGATTGAGTGGTGAGTGTTCTTTATATGCTCTGGATGCACGTCCCTTCTCAGACGTGTGATCTGTGAACACTGGCTCCCAGTCCACGGGTTGTCTTTTCACTTTCCTGACGGTATGTTTAGTGGCACAGTATGATACCGTGAAGGTACGGCGCGGCTGGCAGGGTATATGGTGAGCAAGAGCCTGGGTTTTAGAATCAGACCAGCCCGGGTGGGACGTCTGAATCCACAAACATCTCTTATTCCCTTTGTGGGCCTCCGTGTTCTCCACCCACAGAGTAAAGGGAGGGAACCGGCCCTTCTCGAAGATGCCAGCAAATCGGCCCCTCCGGGCTGCCCCTGCCCCATCTCTTTAACATTTAACATTAACGACAAGCAAAGCGAGAGAGATGGGATGAGGGACTGCTTAACCTCAGGGCCTGGAGTCCAGCTGCATCCTAAATACACGTGTTTTCAAACCCTTTCCTTTCCCCTCGCTCCAGCTGCCTC